AGAGGCGGGCAAAGGCAGCCGGTTCTCCGATCCAGGGCCAGGGTCAGTGCCTCCCGGCTCTTGCCTTCCGCCTGTGTTTCCAATCACCGTCCTTCCCCTATGGCCTCCCATCATTGCCCCTATGTATGCAAATAAACCGCCATCTTGGCTGGCAGTTAATTTGCATATAGCCCTGATTAGCCAATGAAAAGGGTAGCGGTCGTACGCCAATTACCATCTTTCTCTTTTATTATTTATGTAATGATGTTTACTTTGAATTTATATTAGTTCACACAAACACTCCATCTGTGCTTTTGTTCCGGCCCTCCGGTCCAGTTTAAGAACCCATTGTGGCCCTCGAGTCAAAAAGTTTGCCCACCCCTGGTATGAACCAATCCTTTTTCTCCAAAGAATACAAAGTCACTTCTTTACTTTGTTTTAAATACTGGATATGAAACCTCCAAATGATATGTCACAATCCACTGGAGGAAAACTTCAACACAGGCATTTGCCTCTGGAGAGTTGCATAAAACTACTCACCATCGGGTAGATACATAATCAGTGTATGGTGGCTGGGATCTTAATTCTCTTGCAAGTCCAAAATCAGCAATTTTCACAAGTTCTGGACCCATACAAAGCAAGTTTTCTGGTTTCATATCCCTATGAAAAAAACCTGATAACAACAATAAGAAGAAGAAGTTAGCATACTTAAATGTATTTGACTTATAAACAAATAGAACTGAGCCTCTCTGTTATAACTTTGAATGTGAACTTGGGGGAGGTGGATCAGTTAATACAGCTGCTCTTACTACTGGTCTATCACATTTAACATGAGAATCCTTGAATATAATCACTTACTAGAAAAGTCTATTAAACAAAAATGGAACTCCACATATTTTAACCAATTTCTTAATTAAAAAAATATTTTATTTAATAGCTCAATTCTTCCCTGGCAGCTGCTTTATTGAAAAACATGATAATTAAAATGCTTATTTACCAAACAATCCTATATAATAAAAGGCTAATATGCAAACTGACTGAACAGCCGAACGACCGGTCACTATAACATGCACTACCACCAGGGGGCAGGTGCTCAAGGCAGGAGCTGCCCCTGGTGGTCAGTGCATTCCTACAGGGGGAGCACCGCTCAGCCAGATGCCTGGCTCATGGCTGGCTGGCAAGCTCAGCAACGGCAACGCTAAGGATGTCCTATTGCCAGCTTAGGCTTGCTCCCCACAGGGAGCAGGCCTAAGCTGTCAGTCGGACATCCCCTGAGGGCTCTTGGACTGCAAGAGGGTGCAGGCCGGGCTGAGGGACCCCTCTCCCCGGAGTGCACAATTTTCATGCACTGGGTCTCTAGTATATAAAATAAATGGTTAGCTATGGAAGATAAAAGGTAGCCCAATAAAAATGAGGCAGGAAGCCCAGGAAAAAGAAAAACATGAAAGCCCTCTTTGCAAATTTCTATGGGAGATCTAAAGCACACTGCTTGTACACAAATGTGTTCTAATGTCCTTGCAACATGGTCATTGATTGTAGTGATCATCATGAGAGGGTTTTCATGTAGCTTTGGGCCAGGGAGACTGAGCCTAAACTCTCTTAATTCCGTCAAAGCCAGTGTGGGCTCTACATTTGTGAAATCCACAACAGTATTAAACTCAGTTTACCTGGTACTTCTTACTCAAAATAGCTATTACGATCCATTTCACTAACTTCCAAGAGAAATATATTGCAGTTTTATAATATGAAGACAGGAATGGGAACACATGTGATGGTATAGTGACATTAATCCATAAAATCTTATAATAAAACCAATTATATATTTGTACAGTTCACATTTTCCCCATCTTCATTAATATAAATATATTGGAAACTTGGTCCTATTTAAAAAATATATTCTCAAAATATTGCATCTGGAATGCTTATCAACTACAGTGAAATAAAGTTTTGTTAAAAGTTCTATTATTCTTTTAAAAAATATATATTTTTATTGATTTCAGAGAGAAAGGAAGAGGGAGAGATAGAAACATCAAGGATGAGAGAGAATCATTGATTGGCTGCCTCCTGCATGTCCCCCACTGGGGACCGAGCCCACGGCCAGGGCATGTGCCCTGACCAGAAATTGAACTGTGATCTCCTGGTTCATAGGTCAACGCTCAACCACTGAGCTACACCGGCCGGGCAAGAGCTCTATTATTTTTAGAATCCGGTTTCCCAAATCACTGTGTAGTCAAGTATATAGCTAACTCTAGATTATTCATGTTTTTACTTTCAGCAGAAATTTTTAAATCCCAAGCTAACTTCCTTCAATCCCTTGTCTTCTGAAGTTGCTGATAGTTTATATATATCCAGGGAAACTAAAACAATTGTATCACTAGCCTGTATTTTATTATAAAAAACAAAACTCTTTCCAAAAATCAAACAATCCATGAGGCTTTTGATTTTCCATATCACACTTGCTTCAGTAGCATAAAGTAACTCAGGCGAATAGCAAGAGTTAACATGCTGAGCAGTTTCAGTGGCATGATATATTCACCCAGTTCTATATTTTGGGTTGAAGATCAGGAATCTATCATGAAAAATTAAAATAGCATACGCTCTTTATTTCCATGTAATTAACAAATGACTGACTTTTACCAATGGTTTGTAGTATGTTAGCATGGGTTTTAGACTTTTAAAAACCTTAACAGTTTATAGACAAACAACTGGGGATTCAGGAATGTTCTTACAATGCTTCTATGGAATTCCCCATGGCATTTTTTGAAAATAAATTATTTCCTGTAACAGTTAAAGGAAAATATAAAATATGGGATGAAACATGAAAGGAGACTAATGATGGTATTTTTTGAATGCTTATGTTCAGAATGCAGCAATGGTATAGCAAAAACTTTTCTAATTTAATATCCACACATCTAGCAATTCTAAACAAATGTTCGCTGATTTTTTAAAATAACACCGTACTAACTTTTTTGGAGTAATTGTTCTAGTTTGATAGATATGCAAAAAACTATATAAATTAAGATTACATAAATAAGAAATTCATAAAAATAAGATCACTTGCTCTAATTTCACTCAAAGAACAGAGACAACTACTGAGGTGAAGATGGAAGATGAAGTGGCTACCCCTGAGCCTGAGTGTAAGGGCCGTGCCTATCTGTGCCCTCCTGTTCTCTGTGTCTGGCAAGGAGCCAGGTTCATATAAAAATAAACCTTTGTTAATGAAATGAAAAAAAAAATAGAGACAACTAAACGTAAATACCAAGGGAAACTATAAAATATCATAGCAGGGGTTATTTAAACTACTTAAATATTAATAATTGGTCTTGGTAGATGGAAGCATTCCCATCTTTTCCAAAAGTGGGGCCATATATATATATATAATTTTTTTTTATTTCTATGGTGAAATTAGGGGGAATAAGATTGCAGGATGGGTTTATGATGACAGACTAAAGGCTGATGATGATCAAACTGTTAAAAAATTCTACTATAAAGGAAGGTAATTATAGATTATAGAAATTTTATTTTATATAGAATAAAAATTCTAAATTACTTAAACAAAATATCAGTATGTATAGGCATATACTCCAAACTTGCAGTTATCTAAATATAACAGTATTTAACAGTTATATACAATTCCTGTGCATAATCTTGACAATAATCCAAAGAGGCAGGAAGCAAAACTTAAAAGAAACCTACCATGTTTATGGATGAATGCCAGCCCTTGTAATATTTGATACATAATATTTCTGATGACGGACTCAGGGAACAACTTGTTTCTGTGAAGAAATGAAACAGTCATCTAATGCTGCTAGCCAACCAACCAAAAGCAGTTAAGAGGGTTCCTCCTCCCTTGAAGCCCCTGTGGCCTCATAATACTGGCTAAAGGTATGCTGTACAGTGTCATAGTGCTAAAGATCATAAATTTCAAAATGAAAATTAGATTTTTTTTTGTTTCACTGGGTGGTAAAAACTCAAATAGCTAAGTTCTATAGCTAAATTCTAAACTGTCTCAAGAGGAGCGAAGTAAATTGGAAAACTAATAACTATCAGATAAGCCAAGTATGCAAATCTATACCATGTATGTAGGCTTTGAGTTTTAAGGACATAACTGCTTCAGTTGTACAGTGTGCACTGGTACTGTCCAATAAAAATATAATGAGCCACAAATGAGAACCACTTATATGCTTAACAATGGTTTACTTAACCCAATATTTACAAAATATTACTTTAATATGCAATCAATATAAAGAAATTACTAATGAATTTACATTCTATCTTTTGTTCTAAGTGTTCAAAATCTGATGTGTAATTTATTTTACATTTACTTGTATAGCTCAATCCAGACTAGCCACACTTCAAAATGGCCATGTGTGACTAGTAGCTACTGCATTGGACAGTGCAGTTTTATATGGTATTTACACAAGGCCCAAAGATCCAAATAAAAGCTAAATTAAGGCTGGCAAATATTAATCAATAGTATATCACAAATGAATGTGACCAACATTAATTCATTGATGCTGAATTAATTCTTCTTTGACCCTGAAGCCATGCCATATTTTGGAAATAATCATTTTAAAGTTTTTCAACTTTATTATAATTTCAACATTTTCTAACATCTTTATTTCAGCATGATTGACTGGATTAATTTAGAATGTTTATTTGAGCATTCTCAACATATGAGAAAAGGCCTATTTTTTTAAGTTACATTATTAACTGTATTATATGTTTATATAGTATTTCAAAATGTCCCACCAAATGGGCTAGAAGCAAACAATAGAGAAAGATAAACACTGATCAAATTTGAAAATAGTATTTAAAAAATTTTTATTTGTTGATTAATTTTGTCTTGAGAGAAAGAGAAAGAGAGAGAGAGAGAGAAAGAGAGAGAGAGAGAGAGAGAGACCCTAACTAGGGAAGGAAACCATAACCTTGGCATAATGGGATGATGCTCTAACCAACTGAGCTACCCAGCCAGGGCCTACCAGTAAAAATGCTATTGATCATATAGTATTGAAATATTTTTAAAACTCACTTTTATAAACTATACCTTTTAAAAGAAACAAAATATTTTTATCCTTGCCAATATTTTTATTTTGCAAAAAGAATGCTATATGCTGAAGGTACAGTTTATAGCAGTGATGGCGAACCTTTTGAGCTCGGCGTGTCAGCATTTTGAAAAACCCTAACTTAACTCTGGTGCCGTGTCACATATAGAAATGTTTTGATATTTGCAACCATGGTAAAACAAAGACATATTTTTGATATTTATTTTATATATTTAAATGCCATTTAACAAAGAAAAATCAACCAAAAAAAATGAGTTTGCGTGTCACCTCTGACACGCGTGTCATAGGTTCGCCATCACTGGTTTATAGTATCAGAACAAAGGTTAATGTATATTGGTCTCCAATTGAAATGGAAATGTTTACTTGAACAAAAAAGGCCTTTAATCTGGATCCTCAAAACAATGTTTCAGAAAGTTAAGCTACCAAAAACGAAGTGTAAAATTACCACTTAACCTCAAACAGCCCTCTACATACTACACTTGTACCCTTGACAGTGAATAATTTTCTATATGTCACTTTTATTTCCACTTAATTTAGAAAAGCAGAATTGAATAATGAAATTCCAAAGTTGATTCTTTTTAGCGTTCATTTGCTATTACATTAACCACTTCCACTGACATATATTTATATGTACTTAATTTTTTCTTCATGCATATGTTTATCATTTCAATATATCATGCATATGTTTATCATTTCATATATTTTAAACAGCATCATTAGAAGCCAAAAAGTTAAGATTACCCATAACCTCACCACCTAATTAAGAAACTATTTTGATTTTTCCATATTCTAATGCAATTCTAATCCATTTGCATGTATAACTTTTGTATTGTGTCAATGTTACATAGATACAATTTTGATTTCTGTTTTTTATCTACTTATAAGCATTTTCATAATCTTATATAATTATTACTTTTAATGGCTACAAAATAATTCTATCAATATTATGCACTATAATTACCAACCTATTCTACCATTGATAGTTATTTCTTTTAAAATAGTTTAAAACTAAATAAAGCTTTGTATAGTCATTTAACATAACATATCATGGAATTATGAAGATTATATATCAGCATTAAAAAATGCCTGTTAAGTGAATGAATCAAATAAAATAGTATCACCACTAAAATCACAATATGCAAAAATCATGCATGCTTGTATAGAAGGGCTAGAAAGAACTCTAGAAAATAAATACTGATTTGGGAGGCAGAAATCTTTACTTTTACTTTAACTGCTATTAATGTTATGATGATATCAGCCTGGAAAATCATAGGCATTCAATCAGTATTTTTTTCTGAAAGACGGAAAAATATGATTAAAGAAAAATTCCCTCATCATCCTGAGGCCTTGAGTATATGTATGTATGAAAGAAATATCAAAAAGAAATCAACATCATTCTACTGGTAAATTTATTTCTAAAGTATTTGAAGATCATTTGTTCAACTCTGGCTTTAAAAGCAGGCAAAATTTTGGACATTAATCTCCCAGATGTGACTGTCAGCTACCTCCAAAATATTATCCTCCCCACCCTGCCTGTGTGGCTCTATGGTTGAGCATCAACCTGTGAACCAGGAGGTCACAGTTCGATTCTATGGTCAGGGCACATGCCCAGGTTGCAGGTTGTGGGTACAATCCCCAGGGGTGGGGGGCGGGCAAACAGAAGGCAGCCAATCAATGATTCTCTCTCCTCATTGATATTTCACCTCTCTGTCTCCCTCTCCCTCCCTCTCTGAAGTCAATAACAATAAATTAAAAAAATATATTATCCTCCCAAGCTCATGGCGATGACCGAAGCTTTCCCTCTTTAGATTCCGTTCATAGGCTTAAAAATTAAAATGAGAATTTCCTTGGGATGGGCAACATTAAATTTTATCATTCACTTAAGCATTCTAATTAATGAGTTTATTAAATCCTTTTTAGAAAGCTACCCATTCCTCCCTCCATCCTTTCATTAACCTTTCACAAGATACTTGGGAGAGCAATGAAGATAATTTTCTCAATTTTGCCCAAGACCAGTTTTACTACTGAGTATTAAATTATAAATATATTTTTGTTTCAAAAAGTATAGATAGATAGTATGTGTGTTTTTATGAAATATTAATTTTGACTTTTAAGAGATTACAGCAGAAAAAATGGTGGCTATGTCATAGCTAGTTCTTCAGTGTTAGATATTATCCTTTGATGATGATAACAATTAATTAATTTAAATCCACCTTTTGGAGAGATAAATCTGTACATTTTTTAAAAAAATATATATATATTTTATTGATTTTTTTACAGAGAGGAAGGGAGAGGGACAGGAATAGAGAGTTAGAAACATCGATGAGAGAGAAACATCGATTCAGCTGCCTCCTGCACACTCCCTACTGGGGATGTGCCCACAACCCAGGTACCTGCCCTTGACCGGAATCGAACCTGGGACCCTTGAGTCCGCAGGCCGACGCTATATCCACTGAGCCAAACCGGTTAGGGCAAATCTGTACATTTTAAAGTGTGACATATTGAAGGGATTTGAAATTTATGGAGGAGATAATGGGGGAAATATAATTTTCATAAAATACAGACATACCTGTCTTTCATTAATTGATAGAGGTTTTCTTTCATATATTCAAATATAAAATAAAGATGGTCATTTTCTCTGATAACTTCTTTTAGTTTAATCACGTTGGCATGATTAAGTTTCTTCAGAGACTACAACACAGCAAATAAGCAATAACATTCTTATAGCAAAGTTATAGAAGTTGGCAAAATGTCATCAATGCTAGGTATGATAATGATCAATTCATTAATGCATTAAGTTTTAACATCTACAATATTTACATCTAAAAACATCTTAGAACACCTACTTAAAGTAAGCAGTAAATTGTTTTAAGCAATGAATGTAAGTGTGAAAATAAACCAAGTCAACAATATGTCACTTTTTTCTCAGTCTATTAACTAGGTTTACCTTTGTTCTGATTTAACTATCTAAAATCCCATGCAAAAGTCTCCAAAAAATTTACAGAAGTCATACAGCATAAAATATAAAGAAATGGTATATAGTGAATTAAAAAGTTAAAATGCTCTTTTACAAGTGAGAGTGTACTTTCAAATATATGGTTATAGTTATTTTCTGTTCTCAACTGACATTCTGATGAGAAGTGAAAAATTACCTTAGAAAGATAAAGGAAAAGTAAGAAATATAATTATCGTTATACTGCTTTCTACAGAGAAGAATAGTCTCCTTAGCCACTTTTTGAAACAGAAATGAGAGAGGTGTGGGGTAGAGCTAAGGCCTTCTCCTGTTCTTTTCACCTCTAGGATTTTACCTTAACTTCTCTCAAGTTCATACATTCATCCCAAGAATAGAACTTTCTCTTCATCCTGAAATTTAAAAAAGTTAGTTTAGTGTACGGGGACTAAGAACTTGAAAACACAAATTACACCATTGGCTTTCTTACTGTTATTAGTTCACTTTGGGCAAGCTATGTTATCTCTCTTCCCTTCTCTTTAAAAACAAATCACCTCCTTTCTATATATCTCAAGGCTATTTGGTATAAGTTCACAACTATGTCATATCTGAAATTCTGTTTTAACACAAAGGTGAAAGAATTAATCTTCCTTTCTAGATGAATTCTTACATTTCTCTACTCAGTTTTATTGTGCTTCTCTAGAAGGGCTCCTTCCAAAAGTCCCCTCCTCTTTCTAGAACTTAAAACATAAATATGAAATACTATAATTAGATGGAGTAGGGAGAGAAATGACACATTTTGGCAGCAAATTTAGTGAGATATTTTGTCTGACAACTTGTATATCATTACCTCAGCTTTAAACAAGATGCCCATAAAGTTAACTGATTTATTTAAATCAACAATAATTCAGAAGTAACCAAACTTTAGAAATAGTTTTCTTGAATTTTGTTTTTACTTACCCTCTCCCATGCTAACGTTGGTTACCATTAGCGATAAATCTATAAAAAGTGAATTTAGGGTAATAAGGTAATTCCACTATATATATAGCATAGATAGAGATTATATTATTTATATGAATGGATTTTTAGTCACCATACAAAATAAGAGACAAGAAAAAATAGGATTCATGTTCTAAAAAATGTTTCATCAGGTGTAGAAATTACAAGGCTGGATAAGGAAAAATGAAAACCCTATATGCCCTACTGTTTTCATGTAGTATTGTAATTTCCTATTGAGATGTCCTAGAACAGTGATGGCGAACCTATGACATGCGTGTCAGAGGTGACACGCGAACTCATTTTTTTGGTTGATTTTTCTTTGTTAAATGGCATTTAAATATATAAAATAAATATCAAAAATATACGTCTTTGTTTGACTATGGTTGCAAGTATCAAAAAATTTCTATATGTGACACAGCACCAGAGTTAAGTTAGGGTTTTTCAAAATGCTGACACGCCGAGCTCAAAAGGTTCGCCATCACTGTCCTAGAAGATTTCAGGGAAGCTTAGGGTTTTCCTTATTTATTAAACTAACCCATAGGGATTATTCTGAGCCTCTACAAGAGTGTAATACACAGGGATACGGAAATAAATAAAGGAAAGGCAGCATAAAGAATTAGCAGCACATCATGGTAGTCAAGAATGTAGGTGTGGAACTGTACTGCCTGGATTCAAATCCTCACTCAGCAGCTCACTGATTATATGACCTTGGAGAGATTACTTAATAACCTCTTTGTGCCTTAAATTCCTTAGCTATAAAGTAGAAACTACTGCATAAGAAAAGCTTATTGTAAACTGCTTAGTTCAGCACTCAATAAATACTAGATGTACTAAAATATACGATGGTCTATATAAGATGTGTTCGCAAGCACACGAAGGAAAAGAAAGATGGGTTGGTTTCAAAGGTAAACTTTGCAGGGTCCTTCCTATATGGTACCTTTTAATGGCCACCAGCTCCCCAGATTCGTTACTCTTGCCCATCAGCACACTCCCATAGGTGCCATCCCCCAGCTGTCGCATGGTCGTGTACCGGTTCATCTTGGAAAAATAATGCAGCAGAAGTTGTTGATTGCAATGGCTTCTTTGTTGAAAATAAATTTAAATGCTTCTTTATTTTTATTTGTTTTTGCTGGTAGACTGTTGTTGCTATACTGGTAACAGGTTTGTCATCATTAAACATAGGCTCTTCCCCAAGATTATGTAGGTTCATGAGCTACAGCAATAAAGAATGTGGCAAGGAAACAGTGCATCCATTCTTATGAACACCCTATAAAAATAAAAACAATTTTCATTAAAGAAACTCTTTAAAAAGTTACTGTTAACCTATAGCACAGGGGGAGATTCTAAATAATAATAAATTGCTATAAATACCAATATATTTGTAGCAAATCATTTGTGCCTTTTAGAATGACGTTCACATGTAGCAGAATAACACTCATTTGGCGATTGCTTCATTTACATGGTATGGTGCTATCTATCCCATGAATGTTCAATAAATATCGGCCAAATGATGTGTGTGATTCCTTTTTTATTGAATATAATCTATCTTATTCCAAAACAGACCTTGGAAAGTCAGACATCTATACTATATCAATTATTTGAATCAATGTCTGCATCATATTTAATCTGACCCACAATCCCTTACGTGAAACTCCTAGGCCAGATTTGTTTGGAATCCAGGAATTTTCATGTTTTAGAAAAGTAATATGCTACATATACCATATGTTATATAATGCCTCCCATTAGCCTCTTAACCATACCTACAGGAAAATGTATGAAAAGTATACTAAGTAAAATAAATAAAGACTATGAATGGCCTCACATCATTCAGGTCATATTTTGTTGCAAATGAGTTTGCACAAATTTATTTTTAAATTTTCATTTTTCAGAATTTTGTGAATTTTAAAACTACAAATAAGGGATTGTGGACCTGCATATATTTGAAGGGTACAGGTTTCGATAGACTCTGATTTCATTACTATAATTACAGAAAAACAAAGCACTAGCCTTAGTGTTTACTGCATTACATTTGTTTCCTCCATTGATCTCTCATAGTTCACATTTCAAGGAATTATTTCTTAATTCATACCTATTTTTCATTCTTATTTTGCTTTTTAATATCTCTATTATTTACAAGGCTTTATACTTATTGCAGAATTTTGGCACCATTATAAGAGTGTTTCAAAATGCCTTTTAGAAAAAATAAAAATAAATAAAATGCCTTTTATAAGTTGGTACTTCATTAATTTCATTGTAGCACTGTTTTATTTCTACAAAATCACGTCAAATCATTGAAATTGTTTGTCTATTACATGCATAAATTTAGGATCAATAAGGATGTGATGTCGTTCTCAAAGTAACTAAGTTTTCCAATGACAGGTTTTCTGGAGAAAGAACAAGTATAGAGAAGTATAGTGAAACTAGTTGTTTCCTACATTCAGAAATGTATGTATTCACAGGAAACTTTGGAAGAACCCTTTGGGGCTTTTCAATAATAGGGAGTATGTATTAATTTATCATTTATTTTACTTCATACATGATTTCGACCCTTTCAAAGCCACAAGGGAAATCACTTAGGCTATGTTAACTCTGTGGCCAAGATCTTGAGAATAAGATCATGATAGTAGCTTCCAGTTCTATTTAGGAGTTCCTTCATTTTTTCTCAGCTTAAGTCAAAGCAAATGGTTTTATCAAATGCCAGCAAATGATTCCATTTATGTAGTTTTTTTGCAAGTGGCCTTTACATTATACATAGATTCTAAATATTAAGATAATAATATAGAAAAAGGTAATATCCCTCTGCAGGGTACCTGACAAAACATGTATTTGCTTTTATTAATTTTTACTTTATCTGCATAAGGAAATATAATTTTGAAAGCTCTCTTGGGTTGTTTGTTTCATACTATGTGCTATGATTAAACTATGGACTGAAATGTATTTCCTTTAATCATTTAGAATTTTACTAAATCAGTATTTTGCAATTTACTATCAACATGTTAAATGACTTGACATTGTTTTCTAGCTACCCTATTAAAGGTGACATACTCTCTTTTAAGGAAATGGTGCTCTCTATAGGTTTACTGCATAAATAACAATACCGAGAATATACTTGTCCAAAAGGACATGATGTCCATCATACCAGTAAAATTATAAAATAAAGCACAGGAGGATTAAATAACCTACCTATGATCAATCAAATAATCAAAGATGGAGTCAGTCTAATACTTGCATTAGCCTGAAACTGTGGGTTTTTAAAATACTTTTTTATTGATTTCAGAGAGATAGAAACAGCAATGATGAGAGAGAATCATTGATTGATCGGCTGCCTCCTGCATGTCCTACACTAGGGGTCAAGCCCACAACCCAGGCATGTTCCCTGGAGAATCCAACTGTGATCTCTTGGTTCATAGGTCGATGCTCAACCACTGAGCTGCACTGGCCAGGTTGAAACTGTGTGTTTTTTTTAGTGAAGTCCCTAACTTCTAAACAATCTATTCTTATTGTGTTTTACAATCACCAATAGAGCTGAGTTCAAGAAACCACTCCTCCTTTCTCCCAAACCATTCAGAATTACCCTACAACAAAAGCTGCCCCCACCTTAAGATTCCTAACCCAACTCTCTACCCTAAAATACGAAGGTGCTACTGACAAATTGGAAAGTACATGTTGTGTCCACTAATTAACAAAATCCTGGGGCTACATCTGGCTTATCCTATGCCTGAAGGACATAGTAAAAATAATAGGCCAGAAAGAGTGAGGGGAAAGAAAATAGGGAGAAAGGCATCTACCTGGGGCTCCCCTCATGAACATGTTTTACTTCACCCTGGAAACTAATTAATACAATAGGATAATAGCAGTATCTCTCCTTCGGCAATTTGTTGCATATACAATTGTTTTCATGTTAACACCACGTTGCTTGAGAAGGAAATTAAAGAGGGAGATGCCCAGGTGGGAACAGAAATGCAGGGGTAAGAGGGTGTCAGAAATAGTAGTCAAAACTTTACCTTGCAGGACTTAACAGCCTGTAAAAGTGGAATTAATTGGCTTTCTTTTCCACTATTAAGACCATGAACCAGCACCATTACCATTAGCACAACAGATCATTCAGTCATCAATCACTTTCCGAATTTGACTTCAAAGCCCAAACAGTTCTAGAGTGGCTATTGAAAACTTCGTTCCAGGCCTGACCAACCAACTTTCAAATGTACACTGGGAATACAAAGTCTGTTTCAAGTGAGATGGCTATAGGATAGGAAATATGTACATTCAGGGAATAAATTGGACATGGCCATTTCCCAGCTTCTTTCATAGGGAGGAGGGTGGGGTAGAATGGTGAAAATCATATATATGCCTCTACCTGACTTTTTAGTAAAACAAATTTACATACATTGCTCCCAAACAAAAATTTTGGAAAGGCCTCTTTTGACTCAGATCATTACAAAATAAATAGCTTTCCAGGGTGAGATGCTAACCATTTCAGCTGTCCCCTTACAATGGCCTAATGTGCAGAGGCATAGACATAAAGTATTTTAAAATAAAATCATTATTCCCATGTACCTACTCACAGAAACAACTATGTTTATAAGTGTAGCATAGCAAGGTCCTAAACTGATTACTAGTCAAAAGCAGTATATGTAATTTAAGAAACATAGACTGCCTATGGGTCCCCAGTTCACACACTACACTATTTCTCTACAAGTTACATATATTCTTCTCTGTTGACCTATGGAAAGCAAATTCTGGAAAATAGGCAGGTAATAACATGATTTCTTATGTACATGAATATTTTCATATATATTTATTTCCATATATACGCAACAAGGCAAAACACAAGTACATGCAATGTAACTATGATCCTCAATTTAACAGAACTGTTAGGAACTTGGAATTATCTACAGTCAAGCTACAATATTTACTTACTTTCCTATGGGTTAAACAAACCTTATGTTCTGATTTCATGGAAAAGACACTTTTATTTAGAGGCTTAATTATAGATCTACATGAAATAAATACCCATATAATCTCTCTCCCGTTCTATTTTTCATATTTTTATCTAAGTGCACAATTACTGTAAACTTAGCTTTATTCTGAATAGCTTCTGCCAGTTAAGTTGGGATTGAGATAGGATTAAAGAAGATTAACATAGAGGGCAAAAGGAGGGTAAGATTTGTGTCTGCCAGTCACTTAACAGATATCATTTGGATATCTTCAACTGGTCTATGCAGAACCTACTGTGATGATATCACAACAAGGCTGGCATTAACGTTTATTATTTTAAAAGTAATGTCTTAAAAATCACTAAGTTGTTTAAAAAGCAAAACAAAAATGATTTCAAACTAATATGTTTACAGAAATTAAAAGGGCAGCTTTTACAATGGGAAAACAAAGATTCCGTATTAAAATATAAAAGCATGAGTGCGTTGTGCTAATATTCACAAATCATTTTAAAACTAAACAAAACCAAAACCCCGACGAAGAGATCAAACATCCTTGCCCAAGACCAGCCTCCTTCAGAGAAAGTATCTCCCTTCCCCGTCAAGCAGTGAGTGGTGAGCTGGGGGTGGGGAGATAAAGGAAGGCCCAAAGACTGAAAAGTAACTTTTGTCTCCACCACTATTTTGACTCAATGGGTTGTCTGTCTGACTTAAATAAGTCTGATAACTTTGACTCCATGGAATTCCGTTATCATTAGAACAAATGTTCGCTCATTAAAAAAAAATTACCTAAACACAATTAAATGAATCTTTCCTTTTAGAATTGAGGTTACAAACCACTAAAAACATGTTTTATTGCTCCCCCCCACCTTCCAACCCATCTTATTTGCAGTAAAGAAACGGTTTTCGTTACACCGATGCTCTGAGCCTTTTTCTGCAAACCTTAAAAGACTTCTTCCCCCTTTTTAATTTTGTAGTACGTAATCTGAACTCAATTCGCTGCCTTCGCGAGACCCCGCCCGCCTTCACTCCTGAAAGTAATTCCCCCCCCGCCCCGCCCACCTGAGCCAAGCAGTAGGCGGAGATGTGTGTGTGTGAGTGTGTGTGTGGGGGGGGAAAAGTAACCCCCCCCCCCCGCCCACCTGAGCCAAGCAGTAGGCGGAGATGTGTGTGTGGGGGGGGGGAGGGGAGGGGTCCCTCAGATCATGGGTGTCCCGCCGTCACCGTCCCACCTGGACCAAACCTCCCTGTCTAGGAGCGGATTGGGCGTCGATGGGACATGTCGGGCCGGCCTCGCACGACAGATTTGAACTGGGCTGGGTGGAGGGTGGAGGCCCCGCAGCCGGCTCAGGAATACCTGCCGCGCCGGCCGCTTACCTCTTCTGCTCCGGTGTGAGGCCTCGGCGTCTTGTGTGTTTCATCTCCTAGGAAACCGCAGGGGTGCGCCAGCTCGTGCGCATCCGGCCGGATTACACCCGCCCACAGAGGGGCGTGGCCTACACGATAGGCCCCTCCCGCCCGGCCAACCCCGCCCCATTCTGAGCCGCACGGCTCCCTGAAGGGCGGGGCTTCCTGGAACACCTGGGCGTCTTTTGAGCTCATTTACATTTCTGCCTTTGGGTCTCTGCCTTTCAGATTTGGGGTTTGGGGGACTCTTGATTATCTTTTCAGTTCTCTATAGAAAGTTGATTGGTTTGCCTTTTATTTTGTTTGGTTTTTGCTCCAATTCATTCTACCAAGTCTTGCTTGATTTACAAAACTGGTACCCAGACTTGGGAAGGGCAAGATATAGCATATCTTGGCCTCTTCTATTGCATTTCCTCTTATATTGGTCAGTTCCTCAAGTATGTGTTATCTCTTAGGCCACACTTCTGAGTTTGTTTTTATTTATTCATTCAGAGAACCTACTCAGTTGCAGTCACAGTGTTAGATGGTGGTATTTACAAGATGAATGAATGTGTGAATAAATGAGTAAATAGTAGTAACTAGCCTAGAGTTCGAGAGGAGGATACACTTACGTTACTGCCAAAAAAACAAAACAAAACAAAAAACACCCTTCAGACTGGCTTGCTAAAAGGGTCTATAAATCAGAAGCATGACACATGAGGCAGTGATGTTTCTATTTAGTAGTTATCTATTAGGTGTCAGGCTCTAGGCTTGACACTAAGAATAATATCAAGGTAGCAAGACAAATGCTCATGGCCCTCTCACAGCTTAAAGTGACATAGACAGGCAAAGTAAAAAGCATAAATCAGATTATGGATATCTTATATGTACCATTATGAAGACTAAGACAAACCATTCGGCAATAGGGGACCTCTGAAGAATTTTCCACAGAGGAGTGACACGTTCACATTCACATTTTAGAAAGATCACAAGAGCAGTGGTGGATAGGTGGATTTGAACAGTGAGTCTGGAGGCAAGAGAAAGACAACGAAGCTACTGTATTTTATTGAGAGAAATTATGAGGATCCAACTATAGCAGTGATGATGGAAATAGAACCGAGAAGGACAGATTTCAAGGGATATTTAGGAGATAAAATTGACTGAACTAGACTATATTGCTTAGATGAGTGGCAGATAGTGGTATCCACAAGTAAATTGGAAAATATTGGAAGACAAGCAGATTTGAAGAGAGAGAGCAGGGGAGATAATAGGCCTAGTTTTAAAAATTTTGAGTTTGAGAAAAATCCAAATGGATTTTTCCAAATGGAACATGGTTTTTACCATGTTCACAGCTTATACCTTTCTACCAGAGCAAGGAAGTCGGTACCACTTAATGATATACAACATCATCTTAGCTCAGTGCCAGCCCAGTACTGAAGCCCTCTGAACCTACTTGAGACCTCCAGAGGTTGCAGGCAGAAGAGTGTCAGGAAATACATGATACATTTAAAGTATGATAG